AACAGAATTACTGAAGTACCGCAATCGAGTTACGTGAGTTGGTAGTTTACCGTTGAAATTCCGTGCAGACGCGAGGAAAATTCCCCGCGGCGGCGCGACGCGACGCAAGGGGCAAGATCAGAGTCGAACGGTCAAAATCCGAGATCGGAGGACCTCCAACTGCCCCGGACGAAAACGGTGGCCACGTAAAACATGGATGCTCGTGAAATCCGTCTAGCTTAGGGGAAGAACCGAAGAAGAGGACGGAAACTGGTTTGGGGAAACATATATACATCATTTATTTATGTATATATTATTCTTAAGCGCGGGTCGTTGTAGTAGGTCAATGTTGAGAGCGCCTCGAGTCGTGGAGGTCATTTCGTCGATCATTCAAGTTTGATTTGCAGCGTTGCCGAATGTCACTTCGAAATATGTTGTACTCTCACCAGACCCGTCGCGAGAGGAACAATATGTGGACTGTATATTGCAATAAGGTAATACAATCAATGGCTCACTTGAGAAACGACGTATGAGACATTTGTTTCCCAGTGCAGAAAGGTGCTTTTGAGGGGTAGGCCAAAATTGGTCGTTCCTAACTGCAAAATGTAGTCTGTATGTATTCACTTGCGTGGGACGCCAAAATTTATCCTGCCAAAATCTCCATGAGAAAAACTCCTGAAAAGTTAATCGCAGATCCTAACTGGATTTTGGGCATCTAAAACAAAACAACTTCAAACGAACTTGAGGCATTTAAAAATTTCTCGAGACACCGATAAATGAATCACAAACATTGAAAAATACTTAAATTAATGTTAACTTGGCAATTTATTTCTGTTGGCAACTCGTTACTTCAACGATATCGTGGCCAGGTAACCTCAGATCTTCATCATGTGTGATATGTTTCTCAAGTATTTATCAGTTACTGCAGCGTAAAATGTCAATATCAATTTATTAAATTGATTCTCTCAATAATTTGCACTCAGCTTGGCTTTGCTCAATAGTTTTTCCTGGTTCATCTCCTCCAATGAACCACTAAACAGGGTATAAGAAATAAGCTCCTTATGCAGGATTCATTAGAAATTTCACCTGGAAAACGGTAAAAACATAATTTTAATTTTCTCAGCAGTGTGGTGAATGTTTCTTAGCTAATTTTCAAATGTAGTGCATCAGGGTAAAAAAGAAATTTCGTCTAAGGTTGAGCAGTATTTATTTGTTGAATGATAAGTTTCCAAGAGGAAATAAAAAATATCAAGTTGATAATCCACCGATTTGACTTGTATTAACTTTAGTTTTATCGTGATTTGGAACTCCTACTTTATCGTTTTTAATGTAAAGTATACTCACTGTTCTTGGTGATTAGTTTATTTTGGGATATTTTAGCATGTATTACGCCTCTTACGTAAAATTTTAATAAAAAAATACATTTTTGGTGCCTTCGCTCTTTCCCTATTTACTGGTATTTTGTAATGTCTCAGAAAGATCATCGTTTTAGTTTTTGAATTTTCCCGTTCATTGCAAATGCAATTTTCAAAAGTAACGATTTGCTATGTCCTCGAATAATTGGTGCAGTTTAAGTTGGACGATATTTAGCAAAAATGGATACTTGCAAGTGTATTTCGCAATGATCCTTGTAGTAATCGTGTACGGACCTATACCCCGTGTAAGGGTCTAACAGGAATTCTGATACCTTACTTTTACAATCGACCACAATCATTCACTGTCCACTCAATGACCAAAAAACGAAGCATTGCACAGGTACCCTAGGCAACGGTAGTTATATTCTAGAGTTCAACATTTTCTCACGGGTATAACAACACATTTTCGCCTAATGATGACTGATGATTATCGCGTTGAGCCGTTTGCTGAGTAAGTTTGTTGAACTGGGACCTGCTCGCCGAAGAGATCATTCTGCACACGTCGTGCTGTTCCCTGGTTATCATACAGCAAAACTGATGGTGATCTTTAGAATTAAAGCGAATCTTGTCCTTCAAGTAAGATTTACTAGCACAGAATCTTCATAATACGCAAGAGAACGGCCCATCGGTGATGAAATCACCAAAAAACACGTATCTCGAAAAAACTGATTTTTCAGAAAAGCAAATTGGCTTCTCTCCCTCCGAAAATATAAAGAAGGAGCGGGAATTTTACAACGTCACAATGGAGATACGTGGTTTTGCACTTTACTGGTCGAAATTTTGATCGCGCAGCTCAGACCGCGGTCAATGAACCCCCCGAGGCAGACCTTTGACGCCGTGGAAAGGTAAAAGCCCTCGAAGAAATGCCAGTTGCTCGCCAGCACAATGGAGATGACCAAAAGGTTCAGTGGAGGTATTATGTAGATTGATGTCCTCTTGGGCAGTTGATAGCTCACGGCATCCAGGTCTTGTCCCGTGTTCGATACAGAGACTCCTCTTGAGCAGTGTATCAAGTGAGCAATTTTAATTGCTTCTAATTGGAGTCACACGCAAACTACAAGCTATGTGCCGTCGAGTAACCAGAATCAAATTCCTCTGGGCGTCATTTCCCTGCGAAAATAACAACAACCTTAATGGTGAACCCGTCTTCGCACAGTGGGCAGGGAATGGGAGAGGTCAAAGTCGATGGCTAAAGTGCAAAGCCACGTATCTTTATTGCGGTGTTTAAAAACCTACGCTCCAATTTTATTTTTTCAAAAAGAAACAATTTATCTTCATAGCTTGCAATTTATACAGAATATTCTTCTGGCAGAGAAAAAAAATCAAGGAAGTTTTCAAGCAATGAAGTTAACTACACTGGAAAAAAAACACATTGGATCTGAAGCCCAGACTCGTGAAAACATTGACAAGAAAAAAATACTCGCTTGGTTCTTGATTTAAGCTAGATTCTGATTGAATCAAGAGTACTTTTTCATGTCGATGTTTTTAAGAGTCTGAACTCTAGATCCACTGTGTTTTTTTTTCCAGTGTAGCATTCCAAAAAAAAAAAAATAAAATAAAGTATGACAAGAAGTCTGCAACGTTGCAAACGGAGGAACGAGGTTTCGCACTTCGGTCATCGATATGATACAGAGACTTTAAAAGTTTATTTCTGTCGCAAAAAAATTAGCAATGGCCGGCAAATTTCGTTCTATTGGTGTTGAATGATACGATATAGAAATTCATAATATAGAAACAAGACAGAAAATAATGATTAGCATGATTGGAATTGAACAGACTTTCTTTTTCTTGAATGCATGGGACCAACTAGCATATTCCTGAGGTGCAGGTGGTGAAATCAGTGACCTTAGTTTGGTTTGGTTAGGTTAAGCAACTAAACTAACTCCGTGGCATAGCGGAGAGTATCACTGAGATTGAAGGCGCCCCAAGCCACAGTTGTACGTACGGAGTTGCATACCATTGATATATGTCGATGCGTATTATTTCAATTTCACGAGCGAATACGCATGCCGCCTTCTAATTGCCGGCGATTACTGACTGCTTGCGACGCATCTTTGTCAGTACAACACACAGAAGCTTAAAAGTAAAGAGTAGTAGCTTTTAGAGGCACCCTTTAAAATTCATAACGTGTCGAAATAAAAATCAAAATTAGTAGTTTTGTTGTTATAGTATAACATAAACTGTTTAACTTCCCTCAAAGTATTAGCGTTCCACTGTGCTTTGTCGTGAGCGCGACGATAATACATCAACGCTTCCAAACCGTCGGTTAAAGTTGACAAGACACGTATCTATTCTTAGCGACATTTAATTTATTAAATGGTGACCGCTGAATTCTTTGCCGTGACCAGTGACATCTCTTTTAATGTTCAAAGTTAAACAGCAAAAGGCAAGAAACTTCGAACTTTTAACCTCAGCGCGGCAGCATAGATATCTTCATTCGTCTGATGAGGAGAAAACCTGGCACGGCGCCTAATCAAAAAGTGCACCTACTTCTACGAAGATTTTCTCCAGATTAAATTACTTGTTCCTCCAAAGTTATTCCCACCCTATCTCCTCTCCCTCATTCCCATTCAAAAAATGTTAGAACTTTTTCTGAAAGGGAAATTTTGCCTCATGAGCACCTGCGTTGAATCAAAGAGGTATTTTGACGGTATAATATCGAGCTGCAAGCTATATAAGTAATTCTACCTCGTTTTAAACATCGAAAGATTAATGTACCTAAGCAAAAATAATACTTGGTCTTACATTAATCATCTATTTTTGACATTCGCCGGCACACACGTTTCATGTTACATTTCAGAAAATGGTGCTGTTCAGATTTTTTTTTACAGGTAAAAAATATAAGCATTAGAACTTTTTCACATATTCTGATTCAAATTTCTCAATTATTGCTACCTCAATAGTTGTGCACTTTGTCCATCTAAAATTATTTATATATTAATCACAAGCCATTTACAAAATTTCTCTATTACTCTGATCTGTAATCATTACCAAGATGGATCTGATTTTTAAATCCTGAAATCGAAGGTCAACGTGCGAAACCGCGTATCTCCCTTTGCGACGTTGCAGACTCCCTGTCAAACTCAATTTTTTTTTTGAAAAAACAGTCAACGGAATTTCTTGAAAATTTATTTGATTTTTCCTTTCTAGCAGCATAATATTCAGGATTTATTTCAATCTATAAAATTGGCTTGTATATTCTCGAGTAAATAAAATAAGAGCGGAAATTTCGAAACACCGTGATTAAGATACGCGGTTTCGCTTTTTGGCGATCAAAATATACTGAAACTGAAACAAAATTCTTAACCTTTCATTTGTTCGATTGTTCTTATTTCAATTGCACCATGCCTTGTGATATTCCATCAACTACCGGTGTTTTGCTGAGTAATTTTGCGATTTTCTACTGAGGATGGACTTGACGTCCAAAATGTACAATGTGAATCCACTGAAACAATTAACAACAAGCGTGTAGAGGCAAGAAGTTTTCTCCTTCATTGGAACTTATTCTAGTAACCTCATTCGAACTAATCTAATCCAACCTAACCTAGCCTGATCTAAACTTGTAGTTTGGACTGAATAATGAAAATAACGTTGATTTGTTCGCAGGAACCCTCAAACAAAATGGCGTGCGGTCTCTCTTGGGTAGATAAAATCCTAACAAAATGCTTCTACCGACTTGGACTCATCGTAGCCAACTACCCCGGCTACTTCATCATCGTGCCCATCTTCCTCACACTACTCTGCGTCACCGGGTTCCAGAACATCAAATACGAAATGGATCCGGAGTACCTTTTCAGTCCAGAGCACGGCCCTGGAAAAACGGAGAGAGCTATTGTAGAGCAATACTTCAAAATGAACTACACCAACCGCTTCAATCCGACGCGTATTACAAGGCCAGGTTTGTTGAAAATTCTTATTCATTCTCATTTGAGGGTCTTGGACGGCACATGGGATAAGTGCAGTTTTTCCTATTCCGAGGAATACGTGTTGAAAGTTACAAAATGATATGGAGTCCTGGGCGGAAAGAAAGTTTAAACTCACTTTTCGATGCTTAAAAAATTTAATTCGATTAGTGAATTTTTCAAAGAACACACTGTGGGAATAGCTCAGTTGAAATCATTGATCACTGAGAAAAAACACATTGGATCTAGAGTCCAGACTCTTAAAAACATCGACAAGAAAAAATACTCTTGATTCAATCAGATCTAAGCTTAAATCAAGAACCAAGCCTCTTAATTTGAGCGGATTTCATTTTGATTTAAGCTTAAATCTGATTGAATCAAGAGTCATTTTTCTTGTCAATGTTTTCAAGAGTCTGGGCTCTAGATCCAATGTGTTTTTTTCCCAGTGATAACTCAATTTTTCAAAAACTGCACATATCCCACCTGTCCTCCAAGCCTCTCATTTCTTCTTTCATGTACTGTTTCCGGGGACTGCATCAGTGCATCATTATAATCGCGATTCCTGTGGAAATTTTGGGGTATTTCATCACTAGCTCACTGATTTATCTGGCATGCTATTGAATCCTTGTCCTGTCAAGCTGACAGGCATGACTCTCCTACATTCTTGCGAATATACGAAAACGGATCCCTCGCGTTAGAAAAGTTACGACAAAGCTATAGACAAAGAGGACAAAAGAGAAAAAGAGGGATCCTGTTGGTGGAAGTGGGTGGGTACAATGGAGAAACGAGGTACAAGAATAGACTACTAACAGCAACCCACAGGAGATCCGATAGTTAGCCCATCATTTTCCCCCTTAGTCTATAGGTACCACCCAATTAAACCAATAGCATCGCTCCATACGTATGTTTTATTTGTCCATCGCTTTGTCTATCAATTTTAATAATGAATCCGCAGGTTAGTAAACTCTTAGTCTATACGAACCACCCATTTTAATCAATAGCATCGCTCCATACTACCTACGTCTTCTTTGTCTGTCGCTTTGTCCATCAATTTCAATAATCAGTCCGCAGGTTAGTAAACCCCGCGGTGGAGGAGTGGGTTAAGACTTGCGAGTTCCTTGCGCACTTGGCGTCGTTAGCGTTATCGTCGATTAGCTTCCTCTTGCGTGCCGTTTGGGCGCATTCGAGCGTGCGTCTCGCGGTCGCAGCTCCACGCAAGTCGCCTCGTCGGGCGTCGCGACGCTTACGATGCCAATTTGCACCCGCTGTGCGTTTTAGACCCTGAGTCTTAATGCGCCAGCCACTCTGCTGTCTTCTGCCACTCTGTGTCTTGAGCACGATAGTCTTACAAAACCAACAAAATTCGAGTGCGAAATAGTAGAATTTCTCCGGAACTGAGAGCACAGTTTTGAAAAATGTTCAATTCAGGGATGCAGGATGCAGAGAGTGCTTCAATGTATACTTTCACCACAAATAGCGCCTTCAACATAGTAGATATACTTCAAACACTACACCGTTACTTGTATGTTTCCATGTGCAAATTGCCTATTCTGCATCCTTTTGTACAGACCTTTTAATATCTTTTTTGCTGAAAACTCTGTAAGAGCTTCAATTTTGATAAAAATGTACAAGTTACCACTATCACATTGATATTTTTTGCAAAAAGCTAATTTTCCCTACGCACTGTTACACAGTGCGGTCGGGATAGAATCGTCACGGTCGAAGTAACTTTAACAAAAAAATTAACGCAGTCTGGGTAGAATCAATTAAATATTAGCGCAATTGCAGTAATTTATTTACAAATCAGTGTGCAAATAGTAAATTATACATAGTTATCAAAACCAAAGCACTTATTGAGCTTCCAGCAAAAAGGATGCACTTTTAAATCTTAATTCGCTGACGCTTCAGGCGCGCCTGCGCGGAACATACGTAGCGCCTTCAACATGGTGGATAAACTTCAAGCATTGCACCCTTACGTATACGTTTCGATGTGCAAACTGCCTATTCTACACCTTACCGCACTTTCCTGTCCACGCCCGTTTTACTGACAACTCTGTAAGGGCTTTGACTTGATAAAAACGTCTAAATTTCTGCTAGCACACTGATTTTTGAGCAAATTATTGCAGCTACGCTGTTGTTTCCCTCACATTACCAACTTATTTTCATGTTAAAATTTCTTCAACCACACTGTTGTTTTGGTCAAAATTACTGTATTTGCACAAATTCTTCTATTGCAATTACTTCGACCGCGCTGTGTCATAGTGCGCAGCAAAAATTTTTGGTGAAAGCGTTCACTGAGGAAATTTCAACACCCCGGTTTTTCTTTTTTTATGGTAGGCCAGGGGGCATGGATCCCTAGTGACTCTATGTACTCTATGTAAACTATCCATAAGATAGTATTGGATCTCCAAAAGTGAATGTTTCCATCTATCGCCAAGAGGCCAGTAGAGGGTCTCTTCTGGATAGCGCTTAATGATTTTATCGGTTCATAAAACCATGGATTTGAGCTCCACGGATTGAGCCGCAGCTGCCGTGCAATTTGTCTCTGCTCTCATTGCAGCCGACGCAAGCTCGGGATGGCAGGCGAGTCGGTCGAACTTTCCCGCGCCACGTGCGTATTGCGCAAGCGCGACGTGGAGCAACCAAGACCAACGCGTCGTCGCGTCGCCGTCGTCGTCGTGGACAGGGACACTCGAGACTGGACACTCGACGAGGGGTGGCGAGGCGGGGTGGGGCGAGCCGGTGGCCCAGTGAACGAGTTGGCGAGTGCGAATAGCGAATGCGAATGGACTCGCGCGCGATGAGCCCGGACAACGGAGCTGCTCGCGCGAGTAAACGAGCCGATGACGGGCCCGATGAGATTGAGATGAGCGATGACCTTAATTAACCTGGAAAATGCGACCGCAAAGCAGAGATGCGTTTTCCTTTCCGCTGAAATTAGCGAGGATCGCGCTTTCGCCCCCCCCCCCGCCGTCTCGTAATCCGCCGCGGCGCTACTCGCGCTTTCCGCGCGTAGGCGCCAGATTTCGTTGTAAATAATTCATTCAAGGGGGGAGGCGTAGGGGACGTACACCCCCCGTCTCCATTCGACCGAAAAAAGAAGGAAGGATGTACGGAAAAAAAAATATGGTAACATATACTCTAAGTCTACTTGATTTTTGTTATAGTTATACTATTTAGTGAAAATAACTAGAATTATGATAGTATTCACCAGAATTGTACCATAATATGGTAAATGCTACCTCAGAGTCTATCATACTCGTATATTTGTGTCAAAGTATGGGAAAATATACCTTATTTATTATTTGACGATTATTCATGACAAAACTAACGTAGGATGCTATAAAATTTTCGCTCAAAGATGCTCGAAAATTTCGAAAAATTTTTGTGTACTGAGTAAAAGTGCGCCCTTTTACTCAGAAAGTACAGTTTACTGGCTACTTAATACCGCTTGCGGCTGTTTTGCCTGGAACAACCTCAATCTTTTTGCAGTTACGGCATTATGCTGGCTCTCATTTCTATACGAAGAAGACGAATTTTGCTGTTTTAGTTGGATTTCTTCGTATCTGATGATTTTTGAAGGATACTAGGCTTCGAAAATTTGAGTATTATGGCTCTCCTCGTTAACATGGCAGAGTAAAAGACGTCATCGGTTTTTGCCACCTGCTCCCGACACAGCGCACATACGTTGAGCTGCTGTAAATGGCATTACCAATGAGAATGTCAAAGAGCAGTATTCCATACCACCTTGAGAGAATGGAAACGGAGTTTCGACCTTCCGATTCTGAGTTGGACTGCATTTTGCAATTAGGAACTATAATTTCTGGCGCATCCGTAAAAACGCCTATGTGCATCGGGAAACTAATGGCTCGTGCGATGTTCGATACGGCAGGAGACTTGAACGAACGTAAAGAAAAGTAGGAGAGCCTAAAATTGGCCGTGTTTCAAGGGAAGACGCACAGGCTACATTTTGCAATAGGGAGCTAAAATAATTACTGACTCTTGCAACTGAAGCAACGTATTGTTATAAGTTTCCATTGGTAAATTGGTATTCTTATAGATGAGCCGAAAATAGAAGCTGCTTATTGCAAAATGTATAGTCTACTTGATGCACTTTCTGCTTAGCCTATTTTACAATCGGACTTTCCATTTGCAAATGGGAACCACTATTTCCGCGGTGCATTACAGAAACAACGCATAAGCACCATTAGTTTTCCTTTGAGTATATGGATGCTTTTATGGTATTATGCTATCATGCTTCAACGAACGAACGTAAAAGCTAGTAGTTTCAATATGCAGGAAGGTGCTTTATTAATACTATATGGTGGTATATATTAAGGTGTTTTTTGTAACCGGTTTTTGTTGTAGGTAATTATCAGCGAGCGATTGAATTATTCGGAATAACCGTCAGTTCAAGAACAGGTCAAAAACTTGACCCTATCGATTTCGATAATCAGCCCACTGAACAGAGTCAAATGATAATTTTATCCCTGGCTCGTCGGAGTGTTTTCATCAGTGGCGAGGTATTACTAATCGATTATCGATATTTCCTCATGCATTTGGCTGTGGTAGAGAATCGATTATGAAAAAATTCGTTGCGAACACCCTATTTATCGATCCTTTTCCATAGATTTTAATTGGCAGATCAATCAATATACTGTATCGCAAAACAAGCCACGCCACTGGTTTTCAACCGAGCTGAAACTAGTTCGTCGAAGTGACCGCTAAACCATTTCGGGCAAAGTTCAGGTCAAGTTCACCTGTGTAAACAAACCACACATTCATCCAGGATGCGATCATCAAAACACGAATCTGTGCCACGCTCAACTGACCTAACAGCGAATGGAGTTAGGATAGAAACGAGACGAGAAAACCGCAAAAAAGCGGACCGTCCAGTTGCCGTGCTAAGGAAGAACACCGTATGCACCATCAGGCGTTGCCAAATTTCCTGTGGTAAATTAAAAATTTTCGGAAAAAATTGTAAATATTTTTCCTA